ATTATTTTGGCATATGTCGAAAAACCAATATAAGGTTAAGAAATTTAAAATAAAATACATCAACAACATTTTTAGCATACAAGTTAGGGCCGAACCGGGGGGGACCGCGCCCCCATGTGCCCCCCTCTTGTAGGATGAAATGGAGGGAGGACTCGCACGCTTGGCTGCGTTAATAATTCTCAGTATTCTCGAACCCGTTTTTATATCAAAAGAGCCATTTTGGATGTTTTGCGTCATGTTTTTCATATTGCTAAATATGCTAAATATTTTTTGAATATTTGAACTTTGCACAAGGAGTTAGAAAAACGACTTGACAAATGTACATTAATTGGTTTATGCATTTATATTCATGCTTAAAAAGACGTCTACAAGAATCCCCCTCTTCTTTAAATGTACATGTTAACCTTTATGTTCAATTATAAGGGTTCTGTACAATTCCCCTGTACAAACTGTCCATCAGCATTCTATACTCTACCCTTTCTCCGCCCCTCCCCCAACCTGGAAAGATTGGGAGCACAAAAAGAGAGAGCAGACACCTTTTAGTCCGTTAATTTTGATTTTTAAGATGAGATTGAAAAAAATTCCCGCGGTGCCGGTTTTTCACTTAAAATGAAGATTTAAAAAATAAAAAAACAGCCAAATCTTGCAATCACACTTTCCACTTTCCACCCACAGCTGTTCATTATTTTGACATTAAATTGACCAAATTTCCTGTAAAATATTCCAGAGGGGAAATACATTTTTTGCCAGGGGGGGGGGGCGTTTCTAATGAACTAAGACACACTGCAAATTTTTAGTTAAAGTTCAATAAGTTAGCTGAACCGAATAGAACAAAATCAAATAAATTAGAACGGGTTTTAAACAAAAATTTCCATCCGCAATGTTTCCTAAATTGTGGAATGCAATTGAAATTGACCTTAAAGAAACTAAATCTGCAAAAATATTTAAACAAAGAGTAATCAATATTTATCTTGAGAATTATGAGAGGTTTAAATGCGAAAACCCTAGCTGTATATCGTGTGAATTAATTTTATATAAAAAAACTAAAATAACTGAAACTTTACTTATTCTTCTTTCTGTATCTACCATCATTAACACCCTGTATTTAAATTTATCTCTACATAAAAATCCCTCTGATTACACCCTGTCACAGATCAACTGACAATCTCCTTCCTTCCAATCAACTCCTTACCTATCCAAAAAAAATATCTTGATATGTGTAGCCAATTATATTCAGTATCGTTAATTAAATTCGGGCCAACCACTCAAAAAAAACAACCCTGATTAGGCGGGTCCAAAATGCAAAATTCAAGGTTTGAAATATCAAGATGCCAACATCAGGTTGCAAAGATTTGAGTATTATGAAATTAGAGTTAACAAAAAACAAAAATATCAATGAATGAACCAGCATCAAGTGTTTTTCCTAAACAATAGTCTTCCGGCTTATTTTGTAGTATTGTTGTTCCATGAATAGAAAAATTATGTAACATATGAACTTTGTTATCAGATACATACAAGATGCTTCCGGTGAATTAACTGTAATTAAAACTCTTGGTTAATAATAGATTTTATATGTTTCTTGTTTACCTGGTTAAAGAGTAGTTTGTGTTTAATTTATAGGAATTCAACATATCCTATGCTTGGTTGTATTTAAAGGAATTGAGTTTTTGCCACAACCTAAAATTTTCTAATTTCTTTATCTCTGCAACCAGTGGGTTTAAACATTTGATATTTCAAACTTAGATTATTTGATCTAACAGAATTAATAGTTTGAAATATCTAAGGTCTACGACATTGGGTTGCTAAGATAAGAATAGTTGAGTTTGTCGCAAAAACTCAGTTCCTTTGCAAAATGATAATTAATACATAAAACATTCTGATGGTGGTTAATAATAAACTAAAAACAGATTTTATTTTGTTTTGAAATAATTTTCAAGATTGATTTCATCGCTTAAAATTCCAGTAAATTTACGGAAAATGTTTGTGAATAATGATATATCAAAGAAAACAATAACTGAATAAGATTATTTTTTTTACTGATAAAAGTTAATTTTATTTATACAACCTGTTCCTTAACAACTGTATTGTTTACTGCAGAAATATTGTAACAATTCTCAAAATCAGAATTCCAGAAATCCAGAATGGACAATCCAAGAGAATGCTAATGATTCGATTTCGTCTGAACAATTATACAATGCATTATTGGTATAAAAAAATACATTAAAAAACTGCACTCTAAGCTCAACTGCAATGTCTAGCCGGTCTCTCCCTTTAAGTCATAACCTTTGATGGGTCAATCTACAGGACAATTCTGAAATTTTTATAAAGGATGCAGAAGAATCCTGCGCCAATACATTTTTCAAAATGTGTAATCTATAATCAAAACTTTGAATAATAATTGAATCAAGCTTTATAACGATGGCCATAAATAGTTATAAATTGTGATAGGCGACAACATGTTTATTCTTTCAAGAACCCTAAAGTTCCTTGGACCATTGAAAGGGTTTCAGTCACCATGTATTCTGTAAACTTTTCTGTTAAGGTTTCACCATTTCAAAACTGTATTCTGTAAACTTTGCTTTTTTAAACTATCCAAAATTTTTATCCAAATAGATAATGAACCTGAAAATGAACCTTTAAAATGAACCTTTAAAATGAACCTGAAAATGAAAATGAAAATGAACATGAAAATGAACCTGAAAATGAACCAAAAAAATGTGATATTTTGCTTATGTATAATCTTTCATCAAGGTAAAAATGTACGTGGCATGCTTACAAAAAAAATATTTTATTTTTCATCCAACTTTTGATGCCAAAAAGCGACTTTTTGTTGATTCTTAGCAATTTTTTGTTGCTTATTTGGCCATTTAAATTTGATTGCCAACTTTTATTTCAAAATTTGGAGTGTTGATATTGAATTAGCCAGGGTCCATGTCCATGTTCTTCTCATGTACACAGTCATAGGATCCAGATATAATGTTGGTATCAGAAGACATTCCATTGCAACCATTCTTAATAATGTAAAAATTATTGGTATAAAGGTAACAGTGCAAACATGGGACCCACAAAAGTCTGACTGTACAAACCTAAGACTTACACACGTCGGACAGTGCAAACGCCGGACTAGTACAAACGCCGGACTAGTACAAACGCCGGACTAGTACAAACGTCGGACTAGTACAAACGTCGGAATAGTACAAGATTTGGACTGGTACAAACGTCGGACTAATACAAACGTTGGGCTGGTACAAATGTCGGACTGGTACAAACGTCGGACTGGTACAAACATTGGACTGGTACAAACGTCGGACTGGTACAAACATTGGACTGGTACAAACATTGGACTGGTACAAACATTGGACTGGTACAAACGTCGGACTGGTACAAACATTGGACTGGTACAAACATTGGACTGGTACAAACGTTGGACTGGTACAAACGTCGGACTGGTACAAACATTGGACTGGTACAAAAATTGGACTGGTACAAACGTCGGACTAGTTCAAACGTTGGACTCATACAAACGTTGGACTGATCCAACTTCGGACAGTAACAACGTTGGACCAGTACAAACATCGGACTAGTACAAACGTCGGACTCATACAAACGTCGGACTAGTACAAAATTCGGACTGAATCCAACTTCGGACAGTACCAAAATTGGACCAGTACAAACATCGGACTACAAAAAAATGTATTCAAATTTTAAGATTTTTTCTATTGAACAATGTTTATTTCCTTTTATCGAATGGTCTAATTAAGATCTTGCCACTAACTCTTTAATTTTTATCCCTATATCTTTGCAGCCTGATGGTATTAACATTTATGTACGTTCAAATTGATCTTATAGATTTCAAAGGTTGAAATATCAAAGGTCTATGACATCGGGTTGCAAAGATATAAAAGTATTAGAGTTTGTGACAAGAACTCAACTCCTTTTATATTTCTTGTTTATACACTATACAGTGTTACCTTCAAAGATATAAACATATTAGAGTTTGTGAAAAGAACTCAACTCCTTTTATATTTCTTGTTTATACACTATGCAGTGTTACCTTTAAAGATATATGTATTAGAGTTTGTGACAAGAACTCAATCCCTTTTATATTTCTTGTTTATACACTATACAGTGTTACCTTCAAAGGGTTGAGACTTTATTCACTTTTCTTTAATTTTATCACAATAATCTATTAAGTATCTTTTAATTTTATCACAATAATTAATTAAGTATCTTTTAATTCTATCACAATAATTAATTAAGTATCTTTTAATTTATCACAATAATTAATTAAGTATCTTTTAATTTTATCACAATAATTAATTAAGTATCTTTTAATTTTATCACAATAATTAATTAAGTATCTTTTAATTTTATCACAATAATTAATTAGGTATCTTTTAATTTTATCACAATAATTAATTAAGTATCTTTTAATTTGTTTCTTATATAGCAATGGTCTTTTTTTCAAACTCAACCTAAATCTGACGTTTTTCCTTATATATATATTATAACGAATGTACACATTTATATACTATAGGTAACATACCACGATGTTTATATACAGATACAATATACACGTAACATACCATGATACCAATAATACATTATTTAAAGGGAGTGTTCGCGAAAAATGAAAGGGGGTATAGGCTTAATGCGATAAAAAAGCGCTTTTGATCGCTACTCATCTTACTTCTATCTGTTGCGTATATAAGGAGAAACTTGTTAAAGACGTCTCATACCGAATAACTTAGCGCCCGACAAATTCAGAAAATTTCAACATACGACTTAGACCGTAAAAAAATCAATTTAATTTCAAACAAATCATTCAGATATTATCCTATAGTCATCGATTATCTTTCGCCACATTTGTATATAGTTTATATTTTATAATATTTTTAATTAATTTGTTTTGAATTTGATTATTTCTCTTGCGGCTTGCGCAACTATCTAAGAATGCCGCGGACCACTCACATTTTTCGAAATCAGTTAAAACGTTTTCTAAAAAAATAAAATATTATAAAATATAAACTATATACAAATTTGGAAGCTGTTATCCATATTTCTGTACTGCAATTCTGTGTTACAAAGTATATAAGCTGTGATATATAATCAGTGAACCAATACTATCTAATAAAACTAGATTTAAAACTCTATAATTTTTATAAAAAGATTGCAAAAAGTTGGAGTAATTAATGAATTTTAAAGAAGGAAAACATTATGTTTAGATAACGCCTGCGTAAACACTGCAGAGTACGCAAATATATTGTCTCTTTAATTACCTTGATAAAGCACATAGTTTGGAATAAAGTATTAGTATTTTCTGTATTCCCCCAACTCCAGTACAAACAAAACTTGAATATGACAAATCAGGTTGATGAAATATTGTTACGAGAAATATTTAGACTGGGAAGAAATCATAATCGAAAACAACATCTATATTTTTGGAGACCCCAAGCTTTTCATGGGAGACCCCCAGATTTTTAATAGAGACTCCCTACAGTGGTGCAACTAGCACTTTTGTGAGGGGGGGGGGGGCGAAATAAAATTTTGAGGGGCTTACAGGGGGTTATTTAAAAAAATAAACCGCTGCAATTTTTGGATTTGAAGTAAAAAAACATCATTTTTTAATTGTTGAAGGGTTGACTCTGTACCAAATTTTTATAATATCCATGGCTTGTTTAAAAATATATACTTTAAATTGAACGACATTAGTAATTTAAACATGTGCGCGAAGCACCGGAAAATTCGGTTTTTAGTGTCTTTCCATGTATTTCTTAGCGTCTTTTAGTCCCTGGCTTAGTCATATTCACTATGTACATAAAGTCCCCTATTACAGTCTACAGTAGTTTTTGTAATTCATCCACTAGTCATTTATCCACTATATATAGTTCCTTAATCATAGGTCTGTGCAGTCCTAAGAAGTTCCTGGCTTGACTTTATGTTTCGTCTGTCCATAATAGTCTTTCTTTTCAAAGTCCCTCTATCCTTGTTTGCCAGTAAGGACTCACCCTGTTTTTCTCTTGTAGTCTGCAAAAGTCCTAATAGTCTGATATATTATTACATTTCTTGTTATTCTTCTTAGGTTGTCAGGTTTTGTGTAATCTTAAATGGTATATGCATTGTAATACTCATGAGTAGTAACATATGTACATGTTTTTTTGAGAGGATAAATTAAGAATGACTGGTTTTCTATAGGTCGAAAACTAGAAAATAGTTAAAAATTCTGTTAGAAATGATGCGCGAAGCGCGAAAGGAAAATGTTGGTATTTTTTTCTTCATTGACAAAATTCGATAAAAGATGGTCCACAATTTTGATCATGTAGACCATGAGATTTTCATCTGAAACACCCAAATCTTTAAAAGGGACCCACAGATTATCACCGGAAACTCTATAAAGTGACTGTAAGACCCCCAATGAAAATATTAGGGCCTACAATAAAAAGTTTTGGGGTTCTGACTGAGATCTAGGGGGTCTCCAATAAATTAAGCTTAGGGCCTACAATAGTCCTCCAATGAAGATGATTTCTTCCCAAACTGGAAATATTTATGAACTAAAGTAATTAGCTGATATAAATATATAAATATTTGAAAAAACCTACTTCATCGTCCCAACATTGAATTGCACACTCCTCCCAAGTACTAGAAAACAAATTTATTAAATACATGGAATGAATGTTATTGGTTCAAAGTAATTAATTATTTAGTTAAAAGTTACGTTGCATTATTTCCCAATCTCAAATCCTCTCCTGTGCAATCTACTTCATCAGCTGGACTGTTAGCCCCTGCTTTCTCTAGATAATATACAATAAATAATTGTCAAGTTCAATAGTACTGTTAGCCCCAGCTTTCTCTAGATAATATACAATAAATAATTGTCAAGTCCAATAGTACTGTTAGCCCCAGCTTTCTCTAGATAATATACAATAAATAATTGTCAAGTTCAATAGTACTGTTAGCCCCTGCTTTCTCTAGATAATATACAATAAATATTTGTCAAGTTCAATAGTTCTGTTAGCCCCTGCTTTCTCTAGATAATATACAATAAATAATCCATTTATGAATCTATTATGAATCTATTATGAATCCATAATGAATCTATTATGAATCTATTAGGAATCTATTATGAATCTATTATGAATCAATTATAAATCTATTATGAATCTTTTATGAATCTTTTATGAATCTATTACGAATCTATAAATGAATCTATTTATGAATCTGACATGGCCACTAATAAAATGTAGGGAGGGTCATTTGAAATTACGTCTTATACAGTTCCAATACAGACAGTAACAGATGGAAACTTAAAAGTTCTTACAGACACCCAGAGATAGAAACTTATGAATGCTTACAGACACCCGTAGATGGAAACTTATAAATGCTTACAGACACCCGGAGATGGCAACTTATAGATGCTTACATGCACCGGGAGATGGAAACTTATAAATGCTTACAGACACCCGGAGATGGAAACTTATAAATGCTTACAGGCACCCGGAGATGGAAACTTATAAATGCTTACAGACACCCGGAGATGGAAACTTATAAATGCTTACAGACACCCGGAGATGGAAACTTATAAATGCTTACAGGCACCCGGAGATGTTATAAATGCTTACAGGCACCCGGAGATGGAAACTTATAAATGCTTACAGGCCCCCGGAGATGGCAAATTATAAATGCTTACTAGGAAGGCAAGGTCCGGTTTGGTAGATACTCATAAGTTCGCCTGGAGGTCCCCAGCAGAATACTGTTCCTAACTCACAAACTCCATTCTGAATAATAATTTTACAAATTATCAATATTTTGAGCCGAAAATACAGCATCGGTAATTAACATTCAAAAATTTTAAGTTCCAGAACAATTTAGAAAAGTAACATATTTCAAAGCTTTAATATTATATGAAGTTATTATATTATGCAATTAATCTTTACAGAAAATATGGGTCGGAAGAAAAATAGAATAGTTTGTCAACAAATGTTTAAAAAATTTAAACCTTTGATATATCAACTTAGATTATTTAATATAACAGAATTCATGTTTGAAATATTTCATGTCTACGACATAAAGGATAAAGGGATCAGAAAATCAGAGTTTGTGGCAAAGATTCAATCGAAAGATTGAAAAAGACGCGCGCATATTTATTCTCAAGATTATTATAATTTAAATGGAACTCTGCTCAGACTCTGAGCTTATAGTTTAAATATATTTGTTAATATTATTTTCACAAAATATGACCTCAAATCTTAGTCCATTACATGGCAGTGTGAGGATACATGCAGCTGCACATTGGACCTGAAAAAAATGAGATTGTAAATGGTCTGTAAGCGTCCTCTCAAGGAAAAGATGATTCACAACGGAACCCTTAAAAGCTTTGTCTGATCAAGTATGTATTTGATTTCAATGTTTAAAGTTGTAATTTCTAAACAAAAGTTACTTGCGCAATTTTATTGCAGGAAAACATAAATAAACAAATGCTCAGAATTTAACATTTTCAAAGCTAGAAAAACGACAATATCTTCCACATTTTAAGGGTACTGATGAAAGTCTGGCAATGCCATCATTTGATTGAGGGTCACTTGAAATTACGCCTACAGTCCATTTAATACTTTTTCCTCAAAAGGGAATTTTATATAAATTAATGCATTAATACGTTTATACAATAAACAGAAGTGAATCATTTCCAAGCAACACGGATTCAATGAATGAAAAACTAACTAATATAAAAACATAATCTTTCTATGATGTTTCCTTTAATGATATCCATTCCACTGCGAAATATCAAAACATAATCTTTCTATGATGTTTACTTTAATGAAATCCATTCCACTGCGAAATATCAAAACATAATCTTTCTATGATGTTTACTTTAATGATATCCATTCCACTGCGAAATATCAAAACATAATCTTTCTATGATGTTTACTTTAATGATATCCATTCCACTACGAAATATCAAAACATAATCTTTCTATGATGTTTCCTTTAATGATATCCATTCCACCACGAAATATAAAAACATAATCCTTCTATGATGTTTCCTTTAATGATATCTATTCCACTGCGAAATGTCAAAACATAATCTTTCTATGATGTTTCCTTTAATGATATCCATTCCACTGCGAAATACTGAACATTTGCTGTCTTGCCTGAGTTTTAGAAGTTCTGAGCTCTTTTGTTATTTCTGGACTGAACAAAACAAAGCTATCAGCCACAACTTCAGCTTTCTAAAATTTGAAACTCAAACTAGATTTAAAAACTACCCGCGTATTTCAACTAACAAACTATGGTTTTAAATTGTTGAATAGTTAAATGATTTTAAACATTTTCAAGTAAGTGGAAAGAACTTGCCAATTGATATTTTCAAATATTTTCTCGAAACTATTTATACCACCCCCTAGACTGGTTTTGGTGGGGTAATGATTAATTCTTTAAATTATTTGCCCTCCCCCCCCCCAAGTTTTACACCGCTTACATTTTTTATTGTTTTATCCCACAGTAATTCTTTCCAGAATTTGCATGCTTTCACGGAAAAGTTTATCAGCATTTTGCCAAATTACTTCATGCAAACTAAATCGAAAATCAAGAGCTTTATAGTTTAAAAAAGTTAAGAATTAAAAATGCAAAAATCTGTCAAAAATTCAAGTTTCAGATTTCATGGTTTTCATTAATTAATTCCAGAGACCTAAATCAATATTCCAGTTTCCCTGCAAAATCTTAGAAGATTATCTTGAAAAATAAAGATGAGACCCTTTTTTAACTGAAACTTTGTCTTTTATGGCGGGAAAAAAACATTTCTCATTTGGCGCATTTTCTTCAACAATATATTTTTTGTCTTAATTTTCATTGTGCAAAAAATTGTCAATAAAGAAATAAATAGAAAAAATTTTTAAAAATCCAGGAAAACAATTTGAACAGAAAAACTGAAAAAATGAAGATAGGAACTCAAAACCGATTTCAAAGGGGAAAATGGCGGGAAACAAGCATCGCATTTACATAATAAAATCAGGTAGGATATTATACCCACTATACTAATACAAGTTTTGCTTACAATTAGGATAACCAATATTCAAAAAAAAAAAAATGTGGAAAAAGTTGTTCTATGCTTTATTATTTACATTTTGAAAATACATTCCTAGAGTTAATTACTTATCTGACCTTTAAACTCCAAAAATGAAAGCGTGGCCCATTCCCCTTTTTGAATTTTTAGAGCTAACAGCCTGTTATTCGGAAAAGATTTGTATTTAAAGGCACCTAGCACATGACATCTAAAATAGAGGGGGGGGGGGGTCCAATTAAAAATAATAAAAAATCGAACACCCTGAATCCCTACCTTGTAAACAGTTGTAGTTATAGCTTCGATGTCATAAAACTGAATAAAAAGGATTGTTAGCACAGAGGCTATTTTCAGCCAAGCTATAAGCATTTTTCTGAAAGAATCCATTTTTATTCAATACATGTATAACACTTTATACTTGCACTAAAAGTGGATAGAGTATCATTTTGTCAAATTCCAGAAAATGTGGCGCTTTATTTTAAAATATAGAGCCCCGCAACCTTAATTGCCTCGTAAGCACCCAGGACTAGGGATGTAATGCAAGGAAAGTTATATTAAAAGTGTACACATCTTTTGTACTGCAGTGTACTGTCTCTGGGCGGTAATGTAACCACAAGACGGATGTCAAAGCCTGACATGGGATCAATCTTTCACATAAAAAAATCAATGAAATATTCTGGTCATTATCAAAATTATCAAAATTTAATGCTTTTAACCTCCTCGGATACTAAACGAACACTGATGCATCTATTCTTGTTTACAAATTCCGCCCAGAGAGAACTGGTTTTAATACATGTACGCAGAGTATACGCGACAGCAATTAACTTTCCTTGCATTACAACCTTGCCCAGGACTAGGGACGAATCAAATTTTGTTAAGTCCATAATATCGAGTGCAATTTCCGGAAATTTTAGCTACTGGACCAGACATAAGATATTATTAATCTGATTTATTGACTCCAAAACTGGAACACTTCAACACTTCAACACTGGAAAACTTCAAAACTTTAAAACTCTTTAAATCCTTATGACTCTATGACTAATTACAAAAACATTTAAAAGTCTTATTTTTATTATATCAGTCAAAAAATATCAAAGGATGCAGTTATGCATTTGAATCTTTAATATCGTCATTGAATGTCCTTGATTTTTTTTTGTGGTTGGGTGTCTTGGTAAGAATATTTACAGAAGATGACAAAAAACTGCATTATCAATTTTGAGGAGAATTCAAAATTGGTCGCATTAATCAATGTTTCGTTACATCCCGAATACAAGATTAGTTCATGAATATTTAAAAATATGTCTGCACTGCATAAACTGGTTTTAGGGCTTGGCCCGGATTTGACATGATACTCTATCCTTATTTCCTATAATGATTCCCTTCGGATATTATAATATATGGCTTGTAGACAATTTAATGGAGGGTAACATACAAAATTATTCAACAATTGGATTAGGTATCATTAGTAAAAATTATTATATTATAATCCCATAGTTTTAGTTTTTAACCATAATTAAATGTCATTTATATATATTTTGATAATATTTAGTAATATTTATAGTGTTTATAATGATCATTGCTACCATTAACTTTGTTTAACATGATATTTAAACTAAAAAGTACAAATATTTAGATTTGGTTATCGTAGAAAATATTTTTGATTCCGAAATGTTCATAGTTAACTTTATTACTTCTAGGGAAAATATTGTGTTTTTTTCGCGACCCTTTCGCTTTGCATTTTGTTCGCTTGTGAAAACTGTGAGAATTTTCGCTTTTTTCGCGAAATTTCGTATCAATCTCTTTCGCGAAAAAATGCAAAATTTTCGCGAAGGAAGAAAATGCGAAATTTTCGCAAAAAAAGCCAAAAAAAATTGCAAAAAATGCGAAAATTTCGCGAAAAAATAATGCAAAAATTTCGCGAATTATAATGCAAAACTTAGACGGCTTAAACAGAAACTTAAAAAGATAACTAATGAAATCGAATTCTCTTCATCAAATATTTATTAAAGTAAAGGAAGAGAAATTATTTATATGACATAATAAAACTTCAAATATTGAGCTATCAGAGCAAAGAATTCCACAAGATCTTTGGAGGAATTTATTTTTGCAGCTACAAAACTCATAGTTTTTACAAAAATTTAGCAATTCGCATTTAGCGAAATTTTGCTTCGTTTTGCTTCATTTATTTTCGCGAAAAGGTTTGCTAAATGCGACCAAAATTTGTTTGAATTTTTTCGAGTAACGTTTTGTTCGCTGGAAACCCTATAACTCCCAATATCTTTGCAACATGATGGTGTAAAACTTTAATATTTCAAACTAAGATTTTTTAGTTTGAAATGTCTATAGTCTACATATTTGGGTTGCAAAGATATGGAATTAAAAAAATTGCAGCTAATGAGGCCATTGATAAGCATCCCAAATTTATTTCCCAATGATCAATGATCCAGAAATAGCATTGCGCAATCACTAGGAGTCTGGCTAAATATCCACAAACCCCCTGATTGACCCATAGCGAATCGAGGCATTTGCCTCCGGTATAGGTAAAACTTGATCAAGAATTTCTATCCTTCCTAATCCGTATATGAAACCTGGTGCACCCTAACCTCACCGTGGTATTCGTATAAATATACATATATATAATACTAACTTTAAATATTCCGTTAATAAAATTATTACTAAGTGGGAGGCGAACCTAGAATATTAAGGGGGGTGCAGGGCATCATCGCTACCAACTGGACTGCAGATCTTAAGTAACAGAGCATAAACATTTCATATTACAGTCTAAACATGAAGGGGTTTATATTAAGTAGAATTTAGCCAACATTATCTCGGGTCGGGTTCGACCCCAACAGGCTTTATTTAATCTGAATCAATACATCAACAGAGCTGACAAAAAAAATATAAATTACGTATAAATCAAATGACCCATGTCCATATTTAATTAAAACGACCCCATCTGTTTCTGTATAATATATAGTTATTTTCTAAAAGGTTTCCCATAGATTTCTTTGAATCATAATGACGACATTTGAAGCCGGCAATTTGTTATCTTTTTTATGTTATCTGAAAATTAATATTTTCTTATAAAGGGCTTTCGTAAACAAGAACCTTTTTTATAAAATTGACTACTAATCATTTCTTGTCAATTCATGGGCAATTTTATTACAGACGTACTATAAAGAAATTATGGTGCTATCATGTCAAGTTGGCCTGTGCACTAAAGCACTGTGCTTTAAAGTTTAATACTTAATTGGTTCCAGGATTTTCTAAACAAAAATTAGGATGTATAATTCAAGAAAAATTGTTTGAAGCTAAAGATCGGAACAAAATGAAATCTAAAATTAACAAGCCTTCTCCTTAAAGAGAATTAAGTGTTAATATTTATGTTTTGAATAAATAAATTTCAAATTTTATTTAGATCAAATTTAGATCCTTAACTAACTGCGATACAATGATTTTTTTTAATCTCTATTTACCTTTTCAACCCAATGTCGTATAGACCTAAAATATTTCAAAATATGAATTATAATAGATAAACTATTCTTAGATTAAAACATCAATTCCCTCATGTTGCGAAGATCTAAGGATTAGAAAATTTAGATTTTTGGCAAAAACTCAGGTTTTTTTGTTCAAAGCGGGCTTAGAAGAACTGTACAGAACCAGTAAGGTAAACCAATGTCTGATGGTACTATTTACCGACCTATACGCATATCCTCGCGAAATAATACGAAAACTTTCTGTCGCATTTTGCAAACTTTTTCGCGAAATTTCGATTTTTTCACAAAAAAATAAATACTTTTTGTAGGTCGGATACAAAATTTGTGTAGCTCGGATGTACACTTTTTGCAGGTCGGATGTACACTTTTTGTAGAACGGATGTATACTTTTTGGGTAGAGTGGGATTCCTGTTGTGTGCAATGTCCCGTAAAATTCCAAAACAGAGAGAGGGGGATTGAATTTTGTAGAGCCAGCAAAATTATTAAATTAGTACTTATTTAAGGTTAGGTTAGGTCAAGACACTTTCTGGGGCGAGCGCTGCGGCTAGGACAGGCTAGGGGGCCGAGCGCTGCGGCCACGGGTTAGGTTAAGTTATGACACTTTCTGGGCCAAGCGCTGCGGCTATGACAGGCTAGGGGGCAGAGCGCTGCGGCCACATGTCTTACATTTAAGACCCCACCAGCTGCCAGTCTCTACGCAGGCATCCCACAGTCTCACTGATATTATTTTTCTGGATCTACAAAATTCAATCCCACTCTCTCAGTTTTGGAATTTTGCATACAACAGGAATCCCACTCTGCCTACTTTTTGTCTCATATCCCACGCAAACTAATATCTATCTCCATTTATAATATATTTTCAAAAAAAAACCTTTACTTAGATTTACTCAAGTTCAACATCTACAATAAAACTAATTAAAAGCATAGAAAAAAACATAAAATTTTGAAAAATCAGTCTCATCCCACCCACAGTGAAAATGAAGTATTAAGTCCACTATAAGAATGAGTTAAAGTTTCATTTCAAAATTGGTAACATTTCTGGCTGAGACGGGTCAGGCCTGGCTGGGTCGGTTCTACACCAAGTCAGACCGGACGGGAACACAGGTAAACACTGCAAACGTAATTTTATTTCTAGCGCTTTATGTGGCATAATGCTTTTAATTAGCAAACACCAACATTGGTATTCGTCAACTTTTCTTCACTGACGATGTGAAAAGTTGAAGAAAGTAAAAAAAAAATTATCTCATTTATTTTAGTCTCTTTAAAAACAAGTCTCTCTGCTCTCAACATTCATGGGGAAATCCCTAACTAATAGTTTGTATTATCAAACGATTTAGATTTTACAGTGGTCGTCGTATATATTAATAAAATGAAGACGACTTTCAATATCATTAGTTTACCAATACCAAGCTTTTAATTACAGCATGTATACATATCAACATTGAAACAAAGATAAACTGTCAATTAACCTTTTCTTTTTGTTAACTTGTGAACTTGTAATTTAGAAATCAAAACTTAAATAGGAAAGCTGTCTTCACTTTATTGGTAGAAAAGCCTACCACTTTGTTCGAAAATCTTTTAATAGTTCGATATTATAAAAATTATGTTAGGATATCCGCACATGCAAAGTAAAGAACCAGAAAACTCCGGAACAGGAAGACGACTTTTAGATTCAAGTTAAGACTTTAAATAGTCCAATACACATTAGAGACACCAATTGTCTAGATTCTTTCACTTCACGGAATAAGTGAATTAAGCAATGCTTTGTAACAACATGAAATACACTAAGTGTTGCTATAATGTCGTCTTCCTTATCCAAAGCTGTCGGGTTATTCGGTTTTATTTATTTGAAATCAAACGTGCTTTAGTCTATAATTCAACAATCTTTAAACTTACGGATTTGTTTATTTTATACTTTTTCATTCAAAGTGTATATGCCAACAAAAAAGTATTTTAGAAAAAAGGCTTAACTATTATGTATAATGGTTCAAATTCACGTGCACTGTACGTAAATGATTTAATCTGACCATATATAGTAAGAAAAAAAAACTTTGATGGTTATTATTATTATTAAATTATGTTTTGTACATGTAAGGTTTCTTTGGTTTGATCTGTTGTGCCTCTAGAACACTCATTCCTGTAAAGTTCATCTCATTAGACATTAGGAAATGATAAAAGGTCGTCTTCTTATTCTACTTAATGGTACTGTGAGAGAAATTTCAAGTGACCCTTCATGCAGATTCACAACGAAACCCTTTACACGTAGTAGAAATGCGTCACTTTTGTAGAAAAATCACAATTGAAATCAATCAGATTCATAATTAGAAACATTGATATTTAGTTCATAATCATAGATCAAGCTATCAAGGTTACCATTGTGAACGTCACTTTAATTTTAAAGACCAATAAAGTAATTCAATTTTTAATCTGAAAAACGTTTGTATAATTATAAAACTGTGAAATTGTGGTCGTCTTCTATCCTACATTAAATCATAAAAAATCATTACTAATTTTATATTCTGTATTTCTGATCTATTTTAAGAAATTAAGAAATATGATAATTACACTTTATTCACACTGTTTCTACCTGGGGTTATATTTCTTCTTTAAGAAGACTCTACACCTGAAAAATAATTCTCAATATTCAATAAAAAACATTGTATGAGGGGCAATATTAGAAAAAAATTAAATACTTTAAAAAATCAAAAGATGTATTTAATTAAGTCAATTGTTTTTAAAATAGTTTGGTGCTAAATTTGTTCCATAAAATGTTTATATAGATATTCCATTTTGCTGTAAAATCTAACAATTTGCAGAAAATCAATTGGAAACCATTCCAACCCTTGAATCGTGAAATTAAAAGAAAAAATAAACTTGAAAACATGTTTATTTTGCAGTACAACTAAAAAAACGACTACAGCATATAGGGTCAAGAAAAAGATATGTTTTAGTTAAGTTTTTTTTTTATTCCGTTGGGTTTTTGACGAGTTTTTCAGTTTATTTTTTTTTCTTTCAGACACTAAATGCGTCATATTGTTTTCAGATTAATTTATGTTTCTTATTTTATGGCTTGATCCTAATTTATGACAGTTTTGAAATCTTGGAATTTTTTTATTAAAATTTGCAAAAACGACCCAAAACTAGGGTTTCTAGCAAACAAAATGTTTCACAAAATTTTCTGCGAATTTTTTTTTTGACATAAAATGCGAAATTTCACCATGTCGCTTGAAACCCTATTTACAACAATACCTGAAGATTGCATAGAAGGTCGAATGAATGATGATTAAAGAGAGTGTATCCAGGAATACAATACTTGAAGATTGCATAGAAGGTCGAATGAATGATGATTAAAGAGAGTGTATCCAGGAATACAATACCTGAAGATTGCATAGAAGGTCGAATGAATGATGATTAAAGCGATTGTAACCAGGAATACAATACCAAGGGTTTTCCAGGGACTACGCCAATCAAGGATATTGTAAACATAGGGTTTCTAAACAATATATATTTAAATCAATTAACTGGAATACTCACGAAATCTCCTGTGATTTGCCTGTGATTTAAATAAGATTCACGATACCCTTAAAGGGAGTGACCGGCTATATGTAAGGTAGCTAAACTGAGTAGGTTGTATTGTGGACAAATTCTTTAGGATTTATTTGAGACATGTAAAACTATGTTGGAGCACAAAGTCTACGTTCAAAATCGTCTTTTTGGGTGGATATTTTTGGAGAATTGTTTTTTTTAATTATTAAATAACGACGACAAAAAATATAAATTCTATAGTAAACTAATTGGATGTTTTTGAACATATTTTTCACATGAAATTTATCAATAAATTAATGTAAGAATTAATTAGTTCGTTTACATCATTACATTTTATTTCTTATTTTTTATGAATTTGTTTGAAGATTTCTTAAAATTCTTCGAATGTCGTCTTTTCAATAAAAATTCCAGAAAATCTGTTTCACATCTCTGTAAATAATGAGAGATCATAGAAACTAATAATTGAATAAAATTACTTATTTTTCAACTAACATTCATTGCCGGTCACTCCCTTTAAAATATTTCCTGATCAAGAATGTCATGCTTGAAATATCTATCTTCTTCTTTTTGAAAACTGGTTGTTGTCAATTGTGGTTTCTGTACAAAGTGACTTCCGCAGATCTGCTCGCAGAAACAACGGAGTAAATTTTCAGAATAAAACAGGGTAGCACTACGTTATAAATATATCAACAATGTTGCCGATTTTCGGTTTTTAATCATGAATTTTGTAATTTCTAAAGTTATAAACATTTTTTGGAATAACACATTTGATTTCCTGCCCAACATAAACCTTCCCTTTTTTACATTTACTGGATACAGACAAACCTAGATACAAACAATTTAATATAAAACAGATTTTGTTCTTAAAATTTAAAGAAAGCTATCAAACTAAATTACAAAGAAAATGAGCGAATGATGAGAAATTGGATCAATCGTTGTTAACTCTCAATTTTATATTTTAACACAATTAATAATTTCTTACCCCGTAGTAGTTGGTTCCTCCAGTCATGAAGTATATTAAGCTGAACAGGGATGAGCATCATGTTCATGTTCGTTTTTAAACATTTAAGGTTTTTAGGCATAAAAGATCGTGTCAAAGGGAGTCACCGGCATTGTATGGTAGTTAAACTGAGATTGCAGTATTATTATATATTAAGAAAATTTTAAGGATTCATTTGAGACCTATCAGACGTATTCTTTATGAATTTGTTCGCAGATTTCTTCAAATTCTTTAAATGTCGTCTTTTCATTAACGATTCCAGGAAATCTACAGAAAATGGTTCTTAACACTGAGACATCACAGAAACCAATAAATGAACAAGATTACTTATTTTCGATGAAAAGGGTTAATTTTTATTTGCTCAACCTGTTCCTATTCCTAAACAACTAATTAGTTTATTGTAGAATTTGTTGTTACATTTGTCCTGGTCGTCATAGATATATTTTAATAAAACCGATTCTCAAAATCATCCCTCCAAAATGGACAATCTTTGAGTATTTCAAAGATTGCATTTGCGCTCTTGCTAAACAAGTATGCACCGTAAAAACGTCTGCTAGGTCTCAAATGAATCTTTAAAAATTCTAAATAATACTGCAATCTCAGTTCAACTATAATTATACATTGCCGGTTACTCCCTTTAATAAACCGTTTCGGCAAATCATTGGTCAGAGAAAAAATGATGAAAACAAGCATTTAATTCACATCTAGGATTTTAAAGGGACTGTTAGCGTAACCCTGCATGCAAAGATGGCAATACCCGATTTACAACTTTTCCTTTAGTAGCTTTGTCTAAATAAGTTTTCAACTGGAAATCCATGTTTTTTGTTTTTAAAACAGTTTATTTTGATTTGTGATTTCTCTGAAATAGTGACTTGCCAATTAATTGCAAGGGTTACTTAAAACAAACGATGCTTATTCCTAAAGAAGCAGTAGATAATACAGAATAGAACAGGTTGCAGGGAGTGAAGGAGTATCCAGGGTCTATATAACATACAGAGGTCTAATTTTTTTTTACTAGCGCGATAAGTCGCCCCCCCCCACACCCATGACAGATTGTATTTTTTTTAACTTTCAATGTTTTTGGGCTTTTAAAAGGTTTCACACACATCTTAGAAATTTTACAATTTTCAAAACTGCTTATTTTAAATACTTGATTTCCTTCCATTCAAAAGTATTAGACTCAGGTTGCACGGATTTTATATTTCTAGCAGTGAAATATTAAAATTTTATTTGATTCATTTAGAAATAAATGTATGCATATTTTTTGTTTATTTATTTATCTATGATTTTTAAGCTAGCTCTATAAAATAAATGTTGTCAAAGTTAGCAAAAAATTGAATTAGGAATTTTGCAAGGATTTGCAAAACTCTAATGCAATTATTCGTTCCATTAAACATGCATCTATTTACGTCATTAAATTGTGCCTCTACATACGTACTAAAGATGAGACTGAAACTTTGTCTTCAGTGCAGGTCTATAATTGACTTTTTAAATAATTTGTAAAAAAGTGTATATATAGTTACAGGAAATCATAAAATAAGGAAAAAGTCAGTATAAATTCTGTGCAGTCGTCTAGGAAGTCTCATCCTTTGTGGCTAACATTGTATGGACTGAGCTATAATTTTGCTCAATTGCTTGAAATTTTCATAAACGTTCTGTGGTCTTCTGGGTCACTTGAAGTTACGTTTCCAGAGCTGGGAACTTTTGATTGGTGTATATCGGGATTAATGCTTGATCCACTCTTTTATTTAATCTCGAGATTAAATAATGCTTGCTCTCCTCTTATTTTTAATCTCCAGATTAATTAACGATCGGGATTAAGGATATCCCATTCAAAAGCTTTTAGCTCTGTAAACTTAACTAACCCAGACTCTCCATTTTGCATTTATGAATTATGTACGATGTGACAATGAAAGAAATGGTTAGAATTAAACCCGTTAAAGATAGAAAAATTACGCTTTCTTTCTCCTTAGCTAACTGAGATAAAGACTTAAAGGAGACACGGTGTAATTCGGGGGATTTTTACTTTAGATATCCAGAAAATAAGAAATAAGAAGACGACTTTTAGAATCAAATTATTACTGCACAGCACTTGTACGGTGTGAACAGAACCATTTCATTAAATTTTTGATTGATTGATTTAATAACATGAACTACACTTAAATATTGGTATAATATCGTCTTCCTATGGGATTGTTTTCTGTTCATCACTGTATAGTTTTATTTTAAATATTAATTACTGTACCTGTCAGATACGCAAATATCGATAAATGAGACAATTGCTGTCAAAAGATGCCCAGAGAAGTTTTCAAAATCTAATCGTTGTCTTTCTGCACTGAATTGATTTTCATTAAAATCAAGATCTGGAACTGTATCTGGTTAAAGGGACTGTATCTGGTTAAAGGGACTGTATCTGGTTAAAGGGGCTGTATCTGGTTAAAGGAACTGTATCTGGTTAAAGGGACTGTATCTGGTTTAAGGGACAGTATCTGATTAAAGGGACTGTATCTGGTTAAAGGAACTGTATCTAGTTAAAGGGACTGTATCTGGCTAAAGGGACTGTATCTGGTTAAAGGGACTGTATCTGGTTAAAGGAACTGTATCTGGTTAAAGGGACTGTATCTGGTTAAAGGGACTGTATCTGGTTAAAGGGACTGTATCTGGTTAAAGGAACTGTATCTGGTTAAAGGGACTGTACCTGGCTAAAGGAACTGTATCTCGTTAAAAGAACTGTATCTGGTTATAGGGACTGTATCTGATTAAAGGGATTGTATCTGATTAAAAGGACTGTATCTGGTTAAGGGACTGTATCTGGTTAAAGGGACTGTATCTGGTTAAAGGGACTTTATCTGGTTAAAGGAACTGTATCTGGTTAAAGGGACTGTATCTGGTTACAGGGACTGTATCTGGTTAAAGGGACTGTATCTGGTTAAAGGAACTGTATCTGGTTAAAAGGACTGTATCTGGTTAAAGGAACTGTATCTGGTTAAAAGGATTGTATCTGATGAAAGGAACTGTATCTGGTTAAACGTACTGTATCTGGTTAAAGGGACTGTATCTGGTTAAAGAAACTGTATATGGTTAAAGGGACTGTATCTGGTTAAAGGAACTGTATTTGGCTAGAGGAACTGTATCTGGTTAAAGGGACTGTATCTGGTTAAAGGGACTGTATCTGGTTAAAGGAACTGTATCTGGTTAAAGGAACTGTATCTGGTCAAAAGGACTGTATCTGGTTAAAGGGAATGTATCTCGTTCAAGGAACTGTATCTGGTTCAAGGAACTGTTCTTACTTACTTATACAGTAGGGTTCAATACACTATATTTTATACATAATTGTACAATAGGGTCCAGTGCACTGTACTTTATACTCACTTGTACAGTAGGGTTCATTGCACTGTAATATATACTTACTTGTACAGTAGGGTTCAGTACACTGTACTATATACTTACTTGTACAGTAGGGTTCAGTACACTGTACTTTATACTTACTTGTACAGTAGGGTTCAGTACACTGTAATATATACTTACTTGTACAGTAGGGTCCAGTACACTGTACTTTATACTTAATTGTACAATAGGGTGCAGTACACTGTACTTTATACTTACTTGTACAGTAGGGTTCAGTGCACTGTAATATATACTTACTTGTACAGTAGGGTCCAGTACACTGTACTATATACTTACTTTTACAGTAGGGTTCAGTACACTGTACTTTATACTTACTTGTACAGTAGGGTCCAGTAAATTGTACTTTATACTTACTTGTACAGTAGGGTCCAGTAAACTGTACTTTATACTTACTTATACAGTAGGGTTCAGTACACTGTACTACAGTGAAACCCTTAATAACGAATACATCAAAAGAATTCATAAAATGTCGTATTCTTCACTTTCTGATAATGGAATGTTGCAGATTTTCGCCATTACTAAAATTTACATAATATAGTATAAAACTCATTGAAAAATTGTCAAGACGACATTTGATTCTTCCGATGTATTCGTTATTAAGGGATTCACTGTATATACTTACTTATACAGTAGGGTTCAGTACACTGTACTTTATACGCACGTGTTCAGTAGGGTTCAGTACACTGTACTAAATACTTACTTGTACAGTAGGGTTCAGTACACTTTACTTTATACTTACTTGTACAGTAGGGTACAGTACACTGTACTTTATACTTACTTGTACAGTAGGGTTCATTACACTGTAATTTATATTTATTTGTACAGTAGGGTCCAGTACACTGTACTTTATACTTACTTGTACAGTAGGGTTCAGTACACTGTACTTTATACTTACTTGTACAGTAGGGTTCAGTACACTGTAATATAAACTTACTTATACAGTAGGGTCCAGTACACTGTACTTTATACTTACTTGTACAGTAGGGTTCATTGCACTGTAATTTATATTTATTTGTACAGTAGAGTCCAGTACACTGTACTTTATACTTACTTGTACAGTAGGGTTCAGTACACTGTAATATATACTTACTTATACAGTAGGGTCCAGTACACTGTACTTTATACTTACTTGTACAGTAGGGTTCATTACACTGTAATTTATATTTATTTGTACAGTAGGGTCCAGTACACTGTACTTTATACTTACTTGTACAGTAGGGTCCAATACACTTTACTTTTTACTTACTTCTACAGTAGGATCCAGTACACTGTACTATATACTTACTTGTACAGTAGGGTCCAGTATACTGTACATATGAGCACAGAAATAGAAGAAGTACAATTGTTAAGAAACCAGCTGATCTGAAAGAAATAATTTTAGAAAAAAAAAATTTAATTTTGTTAAATTTTTTATTTACCTTAATATAGAAAGGTAGCGTGTATTCCCCCTCATCAATGCACTCTAAATAATACAGTGTGTTTCACAAAACATGACAGTAGCAAGACAACTTGTAGGTCGTCTTTGATCTTTTAAATGGAAACCGAAAATATAATTCTCTTAGAAGACCAAAATTTGAAAAATGTCACTAATATTGACATTAATTTTGATCATCGTTTTCAGAATCAAATAAGTAAAAGTAGGTTTACGAATCATAATGCCGCAAATTAATTCAAAGATCAACGACTATTTTAATTCAAGTTGTCTCTTAACTGTCATGTTTCGTGAAACACCCTATATCTATTTAGTACAATTTTGAGATTCGGTTAAAAAAAAGTTTTGCCAGATAATAAAGAGAAAAAGAATTGTTGAAAATGTTGGAAAATTTTTTTTTAATAATTTAAATAATATTTGATTTTAAAAAAAATTTTTTGTGAATGTTAATTAAAGGTGTTGCTTCAAATTGTAATTTAATTCTCTATTAACATTTTGTTTGTTAAGTTGGCCGTATTTAATCAGTTAAAGTAATCATGAATTTGATGGAAAAGTTTTGAAACTTCATAAATATTAAATGTTTAAAATTTCTCTTAAAAACTTTGAATAGATATGCAAAATATGGACTTCATGGAAATGAATTACTATCATTGAGTATTTATCAGTTTTTACAATTTTAAATCTTAATTATAGATTTAATTTTATGAATAAAATTAAGTTTCATTATTTATATTAATTATAAGAATAACCCTGTAAAGCAAGTTGTTTTAACAAATAACTAATTTCTTGCCTAATATTAAAATTTATAATTTCGTTCTTTTTCAACTTTTAATATTTTAAATAATTAGACTATGAATAGCAAGAAGTAGTTGAACCATGTACTACCGGGTCAATCTCTTCTCTTGAATGCCAGGTCAAGCTTAAGGAAAGTGGTTCAATTTAATGAATGGAGTTCAACTACTTCTCATATTCATGAAATCTGGTCCAGGATGAAAGGATGAAAGGATGAAAGGGTGAAAGGATGAAAAGGAAAATAGAAATATTAGTTCCTCTAAATTAATAGATATCTCAAGCTTCTTGATTACTATTAAAAGTACAGTTGTGAATCGGACATGCATATAAATCTAAATACCGTCAGTAGTTCCCTTTTTACCTTTATAAATTCCTTTCTTCTCCTGATAAAACCGTCCAGTAACTAAACCAGCTTCTACAGAGTAAGCCAGGCAAGCCAACCATCTAGATTTTTATCAAAAAAAACTACAAAACTCATGTTTTTATCTTTTTTCAAACTTTGAATTTTGATCTAACAGAATTTACAGGTTAAAAAATCGAAATGCAAAAAATGCATTTTATTTTCTTTCTCCAATTTTCGATTTGTGTGTTTTGAACTTTAAAATAACAACAAAATTTTTGTGAAATTAAAACCTTGTATCATATACAAATTTACAAAGCAAATTTTTGCCAAAAACTCTAATTTTGTAATTCCTATATATTTGATACCTGATGGCGTGAACCTTTGCCATTTCAAACTTAGACTTTTTTATCCAGCAGAAGTAAAAGTTTAAATATCAAAGGTTTATGACATCGGGTTGCATAGATATAGGGATTCAAATTGTGGCAAAATCTCATTTTCTTATAAAATTGTTAAAATGATTTTATCTAAATTTGTTCTCAAAAAAACACAATGGATGACAGTGCCTTGATTTTCAAATTTTAGATTTTTGGACATAAAAATATTTACAAACAAATTGTAACTGCAAACCTGCCATTATTTGTGAGATAAATGAAATATTTATATACGTTCTCTGGTTCAGATTTATCCAAGAAGTAAATAGTACTCGCTACAACTGACTGAACCAAGTACATTGAAAAATTCAAGTTTTACTTTTTAGATTCATTAAAAGTGAGATCTGTTTAGAGTTTAGACACTTACTTGAAATATTTTTAAACCGGTCAATTGCAAATCACAGTGGACCAAAGTCAATTTTATTTTAAACCGGACCATCTCCTTGTACCGACCTAGGAGACATACAGGAAGTATCGGACCAGCTCCTTGTGCCAGCCTAGGAGACGCACAGCAAGTACCGGACGAAATCCTTGTACCGGCCTAGGAGACGCACAGCAAGTACCAGCCCAGCTCCTTGTACCAGCCTAGGAGACGCAAAGCAAGTACCGGACCAACTCCTTGTACCGGCCTAGGAGACGCACAGCACATACCGGACCATCTCCTTGTACCAGCCTAGGAAGGAGACGCACAGCAAGTACCGGACCAACTCCTTGTACTGGCCTAGGAGATGCACAGCAAGTACTGAACCAACTCCTTGTACTTGCCTAGGAGACGCACAGCAAGTACCAGACCAACTCCTTGTACTGGCCTAGGAGACGCACAGCAAGTACCAGACCAACTCCTTGTACTGGCCTAGAAGACGCACAACAAGTACCCGACCAACTTATTGTACTGGCCTAGGAGACGGACATCAAGTTCCAGACCAACTCCTTGTACTGGCCTAGGAGACGCACAGCAAGTATCGGACCAACTCCTTGTACCAGCCTAGGAGACACACAGCAAGTACCGGACCAGCTCCTTGTACCGACCTAGGAGACGCACAGCAAGTACCAGACCAACTCCTTGTACTGACCTAGGAGACGCACAGCAAGTACGGGACCAACTCCTTGTACTGGCCTAGGAGACGCACAGCATACACCAGACCGATCCTATCCTGTGCCAGCTCAGTTGAAACTTTATTAGCGTGGTCCGACTTTTACAGTTCCCGGACTATCTTTAGCCTATTTGACACAACCCACCAATGTGAAAGAACTCTAAATTTCCAACAAAAAAAATTACCCAACATTTATTTAATGCTTTAACATGAAAAGTTAATAAAAATGAAGAATGTTATGTTTTATCTAGAAAACTGATGATTTCAATAAGTATCCTTTACTGTCTTTAAAGCATAAATGCGCAAGTAACTTTTACAAAGAAATCACAATTGTAATTTATCAAAGTTTAGATAGACCAATTAGGATATCTCATTAATCTTTGATTAGAAAGGTAAAAAAGAGTACCATTGTGATTTGGACATGCCAATCATTCAATTACTCGAGTTAAAATTATGTTTTCAGTTTCTTCAAATTAATTTAATTTCAATGTTTCCTGGATGATAGAAACTATGAAGAATACTGACAAAAACCATCTGTATAGTATGTACAGGATCCCAACCCTTTCTCCAGATAGCCACTGTACAGTACATATATTAAACAAGTATACAATATATGTACACCATGTACAAGATCCCAAACTTTTCTCCAGATAGCCACTGTACAGTACATACATTAAACAAGTACACAATATATGTACACCATGCACAAGATCCCAACCCTCTCTCCAGATAACCACTGTACAGTACATATATTAGATATGTACACAATATATGTACACAAGATCCCAACCCATTCTCCAGATATCCACTGTAAAGTACATATATCTATGTACACCATGTACAAGATCCCAACCCTTTCTACGGATATCCACTGTACAGCACATACATTAAACATGTACAAAATATGTGCACACCATGTACAAGATCCCAACCCTTTCTCCAGATATCCAATGTACAGTACATATATTAAACATGTGCACAATTGTGTACACCATATACAAGATCCCAACCCTTTCTCTAGATATCTACTGAATAGTACATACATTAAACATGTAAAAAATATGTGCACACCATGTATAAGATACCAACCCTTTCTCCAAATATCCACTGTACAGTATACATACATTAAACATGTACAGTGTACACAATATGTGTACACCATGTTCATGATCCCAACCCTTTCTCCAGATATCCACTGTACAGATACATATATTAAACATGTGCACAATATGTGTACACCATGTACAAGATCCCAACCCTTTCTCCAGACAGCCACTGTACAGTACATATATTAAACAAGTACACAATATATGTACACCATGTACAAGATCCCAACCCTTTCTCCAAATAGCCACTGTACAGTACATATATTAAACAAGTACACAATATATGTACACCATGTACAGCATCCCAACCCTTTCTACGGATATCTACTGTACAGTAAATATATTAAACCTGTGACCAATATATGTACACCATGTACAAGATCCCAACCCTTTCTCCAAATAGCCACTGTACATTATACATACATTTAACATGTACAGTGCACACAATATATATACACACCATGTACAAGATCCCAACCCTCAGTATAGATAGCCACTGTACAGTACATATATTAGATATGTACAAATAATGTTAAACAGAAAAGTATAACTTGCACCTTATAAGGCAAATAAAGAAATGAAAGAGGTTGTATAGTAGTGTATATCAGAAATGCGGAAAGCCAAACTCAAAAACCAGTTTATCATTGTCTCGTTTTTTAAATGTTAGTATGTTTTAAGAAAAAGCGTGTCCATACCTATATCCCTGCATAACTTGCCCATACCTACATCCCTATATAATGTGCCCATACCTACATCCCTATATAATGTGCCCATGCCTACATCCCTATATAATGTGCCCATACCTACATCCCTATATAATGTGCCCATACCTACATCCCAACATAACGTGTCCATACCTACATCCCTGCATAATGTACCCATATACCTACCTACATACCTGTATAATGTGCCAATACCTACATCCCTATATAACGTGCTCATACCAACATCCCCACATAACTTGCCCATACCAACATTCCTACATAACGTGCCCATACCTACATACCTGCATAACTTGCCCATACCTACATCCCTACAGAACGTGCCCATATCTGCAACCCTATATAACGTGCCCTTACATACTTCCCTAAATAACGTGCCATAACAACATCCCTGCAAAAAGTGCCCATACCTACATCCCTGTATAACGTGCCCGTACATAAATCCGTACATAATGTGCCCATACCTACATCTCTACGTAACGTGTCCATACCAACATCCTCGTAATGTGCCCATACCTGCAAACTTGAATAACATGCCCATACCTTCATCCCTGCATAATGTGCCCACACTTACATCCCTGCATAACGTGCCTATACCTTCATCCCTGCATAACGTGCCTATACCTACATCCCTATTTAACGTGTCCATATCTACAACATTGTATAACGTGCCCATACCTACATCCCTGCATTTCTTACATAGGTTGACATATTTCAGAAACTGCATAATCTTGATATTTTTGCACAGTATTTTGCATTTGCAACATAATTTCCTTGCCAAAAAATCATAAAACTACAGTGAGACTTAAAGGGACTATTATTGTAATTCCAATTGACACTACATTTAAGAAGCGGGGCATACAGAATTGAGAACGGTACCCTTTAAACCTTTATCTGATCTATTTGTGATATGATATGATATACATACACTTGTAATTAACACTTGTAATTACACTTGTAATTTAAAAAAACTATTTTTGGTCATTTGCTTGAAAGAATACATTAAAATAATCATAATAAAATACATTAGAAATAAAAAAATATCTACTATTCTCAGACTCCAAATTTTGAGTTCCTATGTCTGTGCACCCTGATGAAGACCATTTACATTAAAACTAAGAATTCAGTCAAAGTTTGAAGTATCAAACTTATGCCATCAGATACAGAGATTAGAGATTTAGAATTGGACAAATTTCTTTCTAAGTTTTTGGCAAATTAAAAGTTGAAAAATGAGATCTATACTCACAGAATTTGTAAATTGTTTTGAATTAAGATTAATTTCTTCAGAATCCCTCCAGCCCATTACCATCTTGTAGAAAGTCTGATGTTTTATTTGATAAAATAAAAATAAAAATAATAAACTTTTGCAAATTTAAAGGAGATTAACAATTTCAATTAATATATAAAAAAAAAAATTTTAATATGAGATCGCTAAAAATTTAATTTTTAAAATGTTATCGGAAAATTCTCAAACTTTTAGTTGATCAGAGATTTACTTCTGACAAAAAGATTGGTGGCAATGCATGAAACATAATGATATTTCTTTGAAAAATAAAAATTTGAAGATAAATATATTGAATATAAAATGTTATAATAAAATATAAAAAATTGGATCAAAAACAAAAATTATGCAAACCAAAAATAAAAATAAAAATATTGAAAAACTTTTGTTTCGGCTGAATTATTGTCCGAATTTATCATGTTATTCTGATTTGGAGTTGTGTAGAGGACTGTAATTGCGATACTGAGAGAGACCATGCAGCTTCTGAGGACGACAGACAGACAGATAATTGGTGACAGACAAACAATCACAGAAAAAGAGTGAAAATGCCAGGTTTAGTTGTTTATTGCTTGGAAACTGCAAGGTCACTTGTTTGCAATTACCAAACCTAAACATATCATATAAAAACTAAATCCTTTAACAAGTTAAAAGCTATGAAATATCATTAATTAATCAGCGAGGTGAATTTTTCAAACAATATTTTTAGGAGAGTACAAAAACAATGATTAATTTATATTTAACCTGAATCGTCTTCTGATATTATTGCTTGGTTCTAAAATGTTCTTCAGTACAATTTAACAAAAATACAAAATTTGATTTTTAACTTTCAACCTCATTGGAGTTTGTGCGTTTTATTAATTTCAAAATGCAAGCACCTATATACACATAATAGCTGGATGGATTGCCCAGAGTTTCTATTATTATACAGTTAAACCCTAAATAAGCCATACATCGAAAGAATTCATCAAAAGTCGTATTCTTCACTTTCTGATAAGGGAATGTTGCAAATGTTTAGTTTTTTAATTAAATGATTATATGGAGCTCTTTAAAACTGTTCCCGCATATTCATTACCTTTTTTTTATTTTCGCAAAAACTAAGATTGACGTAAAATAGTATAAAACCCATAAAAAAATTGTCAAGACGTCATTTGATAAATGCTTCTGATGTATGGCTCATTTAGGGTTTCACATGCTTGGTATCGGAGTACGATTTTAGTTAAAGTGGCTGGCGTTACCATGTGGAATTTTAAAAAATCGTATTTTAAAGTAAAGAAAATTGGTTTAAAAAAAAATTCAGACAATTTGGCCTGCAGCTAATTAAGTATTCATCATGACAATGTGTCTCTTTATTTCAAGCATTAATCTGGTAAATCGCTATACATAATATTTACATCTACACAATTCATAGTTTACTGATCACAGCCTTTTTCTGATATATATTTATATGTATCTTGTATTTGTATATCTTTGGTTAGGGTAGTAAAAAAGTATTTAAAGAAAATTGCACATTTTTTGGATAATATTGATTTTTTTATAAAATATTTTGAATATCAAGTAAAGGGTGTCCCAGGAAACATGACAAAAAAGCAGGATTACGGAATTATTATTAGTATTTGTATAAGAAGACAGGGGTAAGGCTAAGATACTCAATTATCTTTTTAGGCTGTACACACACCAAATAATTCGTTCTCTTCATGAATCTGTTACCTAAGGTACCTGGGAGAACCCTGAAATTTTATATTTTTTGTATAATTGAATTAGCCTTTACAGTCGTCTTTTTTATTTTTATTAAATTTTCTGCATTTGTTTGTTTATTCTAATTTTAGAAGCAGAACTTTAAAGATAAAATGATGAAATACCCCTGACTTCATGGCATTTCCAAGATATTGACTGCACAAAAAAGGCAGACCACAATTTGGAAATGCCAGGACTAGATTTGTGGTTTCAATAATCATACTTGTCAAACTAGGTAGACGACTGAATATCACAAATAAAATCAAAGGGCAAAGACGACTTTCAGACCGTCTTGCTACTGACATGTTCCGTGGGACGCCATATATGTTTAAAGATACCAAATATCAAAATATTCTGATATTGATATGTTTTTACTATTTTTGTTGATATAAATCTTAAACATTTTTAAATTATTGAGATTTTTCTAAACAATTGGAAAAAGTCAGATTTTAAAATAAAGAATTTTGAAAATTTACTTAAAGTGGAACTCAAGACAAAAATATTGGGTTACTACATGACATTTTTAAACACTGATATTGTGGCTCAATTCCTCAGCTGGGCACACACAAATACTCTCAATTTAGTAGGAATATCTTTAGATTCACAACTACTTATGAAAAATGTTTTAAAAGTTTTTGCCGCTAACCCGGATTTTCTAATCCTAATATCTTTGCAATTCAATGTCGGTGTCCTTCACGCGGATTTAACGGTTCTGTCAATATTCCAGAAAGCTGTCACTTTCGATCACAATTTAACCCATTAAACATAATTTGCTAGCCTTTTTTATTAAATACTTTTTTGTTGGCTTATGCATTTTGAATGAAAATGTATAAAAGAAACAAATCCGTAAAGTAAATGATTATTGAATTAAAGGCCAAAACACGTTTGATTTCAAGAAGAAGAAACCGAATGCTGCTGACTCTGGTTAGTCCGGTGTACCTTTGATATTTCAAACTATATGAATTCTTTGAGATCACATAATGAAAGTTTGAAATTTTGAAGGTTTACACCATCAGGTTGCAAAGATATAGGGATTAGAAAATCAGATTTGTGGCAGTTCCTTTTCCATTTTGTATCTATGAGTCTTTTATTTTATTGACTACAGCAAAAACTTAGAAACTGATGATAAAGATCGTCTTTGTTTTCTAATTATTTAGAAAAGTTGCAAAACTATTCTTTATCAATCATTCTTATAATACTTTGCCACAAACAAAGAAACTGTGTTTTTGCCACAAACTCAAATTTGCCAATCCCTATATCTTTGCAACCTGAGGAGTGAGGATGCATATTGTAAATCTTTAATATTTCTAACTTGGGCTATTTGATTCAACGAAACTCATAATCTGCAGCGACATCGGTTGCAAAACAAAGGGATTTGAAAATCACTGTGTAATGCAAACACTTCCTTAGTTTGAAATATTTTTTTTTGCAAAAAATATCATATAAATTGTCCAAATGATACCATTTAATTTTAAATTTAAATTCCCATTTGAATTATCATCTTGTAAGGTTAACCCTTTAGATGAAAAATAGTTGAAAATAATTTGTATGAAATGGGTTAAAAATTAGTTCTGAGCTAAAGTGGTAAACCTATTGACAAGTAGATAATTAGAAAATACATATAAAAGACTAGATAGGACTAGAGACTTTTCAAGATAACACCCAGACGATGCTGAATGACTACTACAGCCTAAGCAAGCATGACTAGTACAGAGTTCACAGGTTGAATAGTCCCTGGGTGGTAGGACTAGGATAGACGTGTTGAAGTGCTCCGGGGATAGAGTAGAGTAGAGGTGGAGCTGGAGGGTTCGGAGAAGGTTTGAAACAAGATAATCTTGCTCCAGTTCTATCTGTACACAGCTAGGCTCCGGGGACAACTAAAATAAGTTTAAATATTTCAATATTTTATTTTCAGAATTTTCAAAACAGTCTAATTTGTCCCAGGAAAAAAATGTATCTAATTCAGGATTTTTAATAAGTTCGAAAATTGACCGATTCGCTAAAATAAACAACTTTATTTGATGCTTACGGCGAGCAATAAGCGCTTTTGATCGCAACTAATCTTACTTCTATCTGTTGCGCCTTTAAGGAGAAAATGGTTAAAAACGACTCACACCGAAGAACGTCGCGTCCATACAAATTCGGAAAAATGCAACATTCAACTAGATTCGTAAACAAATCAATTTAATTCCAAGCAAATCATTCAGACATTACAAACAGTAGTCATCGATTATTTTTTGACGCATTCGTATATACAGGGTGTCCCACATCATATTAGACCGAGAACGGGTCTAAATTACGATTTTCGGGACTAATTAGAAAATTTCATTAGAATGAATCATTTGGAAAAATAACATGGCTTATATAAGAATTTTCTCGCGGAAAATGATAAGTTTTTCGAGTATTAAGGGTTTATTTTGTCGTTAAAGATTGGAGATAATCTAATATGATATGGGACGCTCTGCAGTTAATATCTCATAATATTTTTAATTTTGTTTTTTTTTAAATAATATTTCACTGGCGCGATCAAATCGTCCACTTAGTATTGCTTTACTGTCGTCTTTCTATTTCACAGTTTTACCTTTTTTACATTTTCTTAGAATTTTCAAGACCTCTATTAACAACATTTATAATTTATGAATTTTCGTCATTGGTCATTATTATTCAAAATCAATAAATATCGCAGAAAATCTGAATATTTAACTGATAAAAAACTAACATTTTTGATGTTTTCTTTCTACTCTAGAATATGTTTTCTGAGAGCAGACATTTTCAGAGACTCTATAGCTTACATATAAAGCTCACAACCTATTAAACAACCATAGAGTTGGAGGTCGAAATTGGACCGATTCACCCAGCTAAACAACTTTACTTGATTGTGTGCATTGTTAAAACTGAATATTGAAACCAGAAAACTATGAAATAGGACCTATTCACCCAGCTAAACAACTTTACTTGATTTTGTGCATTGTTTCATATCTTTCAATCTAAATCACTTACACATAAGATTGTTTATATACTGACTTCTTAGTCCAAAGTTTTTTGGGTACCACTGCATATTTGAACAACTTACATAATCGAATGTGAGTAAGATGGAAGCCTGGCGGATGTTATAACTTGATACGGCGGCGTCATCCTCCACGGCGGAGGCTAGGGCGGATGGAGAGATAGTATATCCGGTAGGGAGCTGGACCTTGAGAATAGAAAATAAAGGGACTGTACGCCTGACTTCAAGTGACTCTCCATGCAAAGATGACAATTTCCGACTCACGTCAATATCCTCGAAACTTTTATCTGATTCATAATGTGGGAGATATTGTCGATTTTCTAGGTTTAAAGTCTTTAACTATGATGACTTCTTCATGCTTTCCTGCAGTAGAAATGCGCAAGTCACGTTAGTATACATATAGAAAACACAATTGAAAATCTAATAAGTTGCCATCTTTGCATGGAAGGTCACTTAAATCCCTTTACATAAAGTACATATATAGAATTAAGTGCGGAATCAAAAGTACATCGTCAAGTCTAAATTCCAGATTTTAGTGTTGTATTTTCTATTTAAATCAAATTTTATCAAACATACGCTTACGCATTACAAATTCGAAAATTTCGGATTGTGTAGAAAATTAATAAAAGTATGAATACTTTTGAAAAATTGTTTGAGATTAATATTAAGTGACTATACGCTTTGAAATAATCCAATATATGGGAATGCTCATTTTCACTTCTCACTATAGCTATCTATCAACGTTGGCTCAGTAATACAAAATACAACAGCAAATGGGGAAGAGGTGAAGGATTTTTTACATTTAGGATGTTTAGGCGTTCAGAGTCTTCAGAGTCGATTCCAAGAAAATCTGAGAACTTTAACAGCCGTATTCGATAAACGTAATACCGGAGATGATCATTCCAAAATTTTTTGTGGGACCTCAATTGATCCCAATGAAGGTTTATGGATGGTTAGATGGAGGGGGGGGGGACTGTCTAGTTCTATAACCCTCTATTACCTGGAGAACAGTAGGACCAGAATATATCGTCTCATATGGGCACAGCCATCTTTAAATATAATATAAACAATAACAGCCGACATCGTACAGTGTGTTCCACAAAGGACGAGATTTTAAAGACGACTGTAGGAAGTTTTATCAGTCTTTTTTTCCTAGATGGTTCCTTGTAGCTTTACAACTTTAGATTTCTTATTTATATTATTATGAAGACCTATTATAAAGACCCCAGATTCAATTTAATCTTAAAACTGAAGTGTTTCAGGTTGTCTTTGTGGGTCACCCTGTACCCACAAAACCTGTAAGACCATTAATAATATCAAATATAAATAAAATGTTTTGCATTGAACCAACTGTAATTAGAATTAATTTAAAAGAATACCTTTATAATAAATATTTTTGCTCATATATATTTGTATATTTGTTCGTTATAGCTGGCCAAAAAGCTGGACTAAATTTACCGATATTTTATTTAGGGCACCCTGGGGGTGACATATTAACATTTAGTTTCCGCAGTAATTTTAAAACTTGGGCAATGCGGGTACTCCAACTAGTTTTTGCAGAAAACTTTTGTTTTATGCAAAAATTTAAAAAAATTACATTGAATTATAAATTGCAAACAAACTCTGATTTTTGAATCACTATATCTTTGCAACACAATAGGGTAAACTTTAGATCTTTCAAAAAAATAAGTAATGTTAGATCAAATAATCTAACTTTAAAAATCTTTTAGAAACTTTAAAACATCTGTGATTTGTCTCCGAAAACAAAATTAAAATACATTTTATTAAAATTATGATCACAGTCTTTTATCTATAATCTTAAAACTTTAAATAGCTATTTGTCTATTTTTGGAAATAAATACAAGTATTTTTTGCTTTTTTAAAAAATCACCTTTGGCATGAGTTGAGAATGAATGAGGAATTCTTCATTTGAACAGAAGCTTCAAGATTGTACGCACTAACAGGAGATGTTTCTCCTTGCAGGGAAACTTCAGTATCCAAGTTTATAGATTCAGGATAAATCTTGGGTTTAGTTTCAGATCCCAGGTTCTTAAAAGCTCCAGGGTTGGCAAAGGCCCTGAGTGCAGTTTCTCCGAATTTAGTAACTCCGGGTTTAATTTCTTCTGGTTCAGTTTCTCCGGGTTTAGTTTTTCCTGGTTCAGTTTCTCCTGGTTTAGTTTCTCCTGGTTCAGTTTCTCTAGGTTCAGTTTCTCCTGGTTGTGCGTCCAGGTATAGGTTGGGTCGGAGAAGATAAGAGTTTCCCACCTGGAGAACAGCTCTTCCCTTACCTTTCATTTCAACCTAGAGAAGAAGAATTTATTTTGCAGAATTTTATTTTCTTTAAAGGGACTGTTAGCATAATTTCATCTGATCCTCTCTACACACATGGCAATGCCCGATTGACTACGGTACCTTAAGAAAACTTTAACTGATTAGTTAACTCTATTTTTTTATGTTTTAAGCGTTTTTTATTACTTTATTTCTAAAATGTATAAGTCACTTTTGAAAAGAAACCACAGCCAAAAAGTAATCAGCTTTCAAAATTAAAAACTGTGATTCATGCTTGATCAGACTGGGCTTTTAGCCCTATTAAGCCTTACGTCTGGTTTACTCATTGGTTGCCTGGGGGGGGGGGGGTTCTTATTTTCTTATTGTGATACAAATCTGGAAATTTGATTTGTTTTTGGAAAGCCCTTGGACTCTACCTCAATAATCTGCAAAGAAAATGTCAAACTTGCAAGAATCCAAATATTTTTTGCAAAATCTAGTTAAAAAGCAAAAATTGTGCCAACAAATTGCGCAAATGGCAACAAATTATACATTTTTGAAAAGGCCTTGACCCAACTAATGCAAATATGCATAAAGTTGTGCAATTTACTTTCTTTGTTCTAGGCTTTCCAAATAGCTATAAAATGTTAAAATCCAATGGCTGGAATTAGATCTAAATATAGATTTAGTCTGGTAGGTAAAAAAAGGCATAAAGGCAGTATGCCTTAGGACTCAGGCAGTAGGTATAAAAGCCAAGCTTTTAGTCTTTAGTGAGGGGAATGGGTTAGTTAGAGAAGACAGAAAATTTGAGCTTCCTATCTCAAATACTTTTTGAGTTATTGCTAGGGGGGGGGGGGGTCACAGGGGGTCAAACTAACCTCCCCCCCACGGCCAAATAGGGTTAAAGGTGCAGTTGTGAATCGGCCATTTTCATCTTTGCATGGAGGGTTAATTAGAATTACATGATCAGTTTAGGACTAGACGAAGCACTTATTTCTAGATTTTGTTTTAAAAAAGTAATTGGCAAAAGTTTATCAATTTTTGCGTAAAAGCTTGCAATCTTTAAATCACTGTGCAAAACTCTCCATTTTCTTTATTTTTCCTTGACTGTAACCCTTATTATATTCTCCTATATACTTTTACTTGTTACATTAAACCTTCATTTTAAATCCTCCCATGAGACCTTGTTAAAAGTTTTCAATTCTTTTGCTAGAATCAACATTGCTGGAACCTAAGGGACCGTGAGCGAAATTTCTAGTGACCATCCCATTTACTATGAAACCTTAATCTGATCAAAAATGTGGAAGATAACGTCGTTTTCTGACTCAATTTATTTCTTTGTGTATCTCCCTTTCTTCTCATGAGCGATAAAGAAATGCACAAATCAATTTTGCAAAGAAACAGCAAATAAAATTAAACAATTTATTATACGCTCACAGTCTCTTTAATGGCAGGGTCGCCAAAAAAAGAAAATTCTTCAAATTACGACCCGTTTTAGAATTCACAAAGTAAAATTATTAATTTTAAAAGAGAAATACAAGAATATTTTTGAAATTTTACAAGGTACAGTTTTGATTGTAAATAGGCAGATTAAGTCTACAGTCCCTTTTGAAAATATTATTTTTTTTAAATTCTTTCATAAAATTCTTCATTTTCAATTTTCTATTTCAATCTCCAAAAAAATCAAGTTTTACTATTGCAAGGAATACAAGGAAATAGACAATATAAGTTGGTCTCTGAAGTATCATTCTTTGTAGGCAACCCTGTATTTGGTGATACAGTGTATTTTATTTTTTTATTTTGGACTTTTTTATTGGATTCAATCATACAGCAGCCCACGTAAAACTATGTATACAGCGAAGTGGATCTGAATATTTTCCGTCTTTTTTTTTATTTGCATTAAAAATTTGTCAGATAAAACGTGCAAAATATCTAACATAATTAATTACAAACTTACAAAACTGTATAAAAATACCCTTCATAAACTCTCTGAAGTCTCATAATTTGTGAATACCCCTGTAAAAACTGAGAACGTACCTTGACAGAACCGTAAAAGTTCTCTACAATGAGTGTATAAGGACCCCGGGATGATTTAGAAATAGTAAAACTTCGTTCAACACTTTTACTTCCAGTCAGAGTTACTTCTACACTCATCTCATTTATCTCATTCTTCTAAACAAAAAGTTTAACTTTTAACGGAGACAACTATCTTTGTTTATAAAGTAGTAATCTCTGTTTATTTTTTTGTATGTCCGATCATAACTCATGAACCCCAGGACCGATTTGCCTCAAAATTTAATTGGTGAGCTAGGTGCAACCATGGAAATTTTCTTAGTTTAGTTTAAAATTTCTAAGTTTAATTGGTTGACAATCATAAAGAAATTTTGAATTTTCTTGGTTTTCTTCTCTATTCGTTACCTGTTCCTGCAATGCGAACTCTACCAATGAGTTGACCGCTAAAACTGAATCATGACCTGATGACCATCCAGACATTGAATGCCTCCTACAAAGAAAAATAATAATTCTTAAAGGCCTTAAGTCCTAATTAATGTAAATCGGATTTAAATTTGAAAGTAGTTTTTAAAGCTTTGTAATAAAGCTACAGCTAGTTAAATTATTAAAACTATAAATGTCGTCTTCGCAGTTTACTATTTTTACCGTACCTTGAATTCAACCAACGAACAATAGGTTTAATAATAAACTCTTTCCTAAGCGTATAGACCAGCAATCCGTAGGAGGTAGCTCTGAAATATAGATTAGTTAAAGGGAGTGTTCGCGAAAAAGAGGGTATAAACTAATCCCGAATCCCGAAACAGAGAGAAGTAAAATTAGTAGCGATCCAAACCAAATTCAATTCGGGATTAGCCTAAACCCCCTTTTCATTTTCGCAAACACTCTCTTTAAATGTAGATAAAGCCAGCACGTTAAGCTAAGGTAAACTAAAAATAAAATTAAAATCTTATATGTTTAATTTTATTAAAAGGGTCATTGAGATTTAAAACAGTTAGAATTTAGAATAATAATAATAATAATAATAATATAATAATTTATAATTTAGAATATGTATAAAGAGAATAAATTTCTTTTCACATACTTTTGAAATAAACTCCAATTTAGAGGAGCTACGAGGTCACGAAGTCGTTCCAGTTATGTTTGAATTTCTCTCTCTGAATAGTTTGCAGTTTTCGTTTATTACAGACACAAACCCCGACAATAAGCAGGCAACCTGTATTGAACTCAACAAATTCATTACATTCTCCAAGATTCCAAAATTGACGTAAACGAGGGAGGGGGATTGAAGGCCTAATTTAATAAGATTATACAGTCGGACCCAGTTGCCTTATTGACTTCGGAGAGAAAGGACCTATCTTATATGGGTCCCAGCCTTGTCCCAGCCTTGCAGCCGGGAGAGCGCTGTGTTTAGTTACGCATCTAGTATACTACAGGGGAAGCAAGAACTATACATAGATTAAACTTTCCTTTCTTGTTTTTTGTTTTCTGTATTCACTGGAGATGAAAGAAGTAATTTAGCCCCTGATAGGTATACATGCACAATGATACTGGTTTTTTACTCAACCGGCTGGGAGGACTAGACTGAGGACTGGACTACTAAAGAAGATTCCCCTCAAGAGGGCTTTACAGGGCTTACAACTCCTCATTTTGCATAAGGGGTGCAGTTATGAGTTTCCTTATAATTCCCCAAACTGGGAAACAGTATAAAATGAAGGAACACAGGAAGCAATTCCCTATACCCTTCTTCCTACAAATCTCCTAATCTCTCTCCTCTACCTTTTCCACAACTCGGATGTTATAAGAACTATTTGGAAAGGTCTTAAAGTGCAAAAACAAGCTAAACAAGAAAAAAGAAGAAACTAAAGAACAGGGAAAAAAAGAAAATCAAACTGGAAAAGGAAAAAATGGAAGGGAATCTTCCGACAGCGAATATAGACAACATTGGAGAAGGGAAGGAAACATCCACCCCCCCCCCCTCTAAAATTATTCTACCCTACGTAGAAACCTTCAAACAGTGTATTAAATTGCTGCTGAGACTGCACCACACATAAGAGATGTTGAGTCAAGACATTCCTAGATCAGAAAAAAATATTAAAAACTGCAAACACATCTGATATCTACTCCTGACATATGATAACCTTCTATTATACTTATATTGATATTTCTGGCGCCAAGATATCAAATTAAAGAATAGTATGAATCAGAAATATGTGTCAAATTGCATTTTTCCCTTGTCTACAAGGGATTAATATGCTTAGATCTAAAAGAGAAGAACAGAAAACAGATGTGTATATTCAATCAAGAGTTCAGAAAAAAATCAGATGCAAGAGTATACAGAGTTCAGAAAAAAGAAATTCATGGCTCAGAAAAAAATTAAGATCATTTAAAAATAGTTCCTACTTGTAACACGGCAAACTACAAGGACATCCAACAAAATTTTTTCTTTTTATTTTCAAAATTAGCCGAAGTATGATTGAAGGATGGACCAACAAGAAAAAAAAATGAAGAACAAGAAATATAGAAATCTCAAAATATATCCATCTGATATCATAAAAATATTTAAAAATATTGTAAAATTTAAAAATAAATAAATTATTAAAGTTAAAAATACAGTCGGACCCAAAAAATACCTGACAGCAAGTGAGTCACAGCACAAAACTGGGTTTGGTAGAAGCTCCTCAATGTTGCCAACCCTAAAATTTGTCATATTTACAAAAAATCTTTCAACTGGTGCAACCATTGCCTCTTTCATATTTTGTGTTTATTTCATGTCCAATCATGTTTATGTTCTAAAACAATGTTGCAAAACAATAACAAAACCTGATTTTTTTCGGATCATCTTTATATAGATATTATTCTATTTAATATCATAAACAACAACTGTTTGAACAGATAGCAAAGAACATATTCTTTCTAAATTGAGATAGTTCATCCCGCCTAATTATACTGCATGGGTACAATAGAGATAATGGTACAGAAAGATCCTTGTACTGGTTAGGACCATGCAACTTTTGAACTAATGATGTGTATATGTACTGTTTGCAAGCTTGTTAAAAAGCAAATCTGAAATATTTTATCGTCAAGATGATATTAATATATACACTGACCAATGTGCCTAAAAATATGTGATTGTAATACCTGCTAAAAGTTTGAATAGGATCTGTATCACTTCCCCAGTACATAAAACTACTTTGCTCTTGTCTGTACTTGGATAAAAGCTGAAACGCATCATCCTGAAAAAAATGTATTTATTGCAATGCACAAATATGTTGGAATACATCATTCTTGAACATACATATACTACACTGATATACATACACGTTATACATGTACTGCTGCAGTATGTAATGTATCTATTATGTATTTATAATGTAAAACTTAAAACTGTACACTGTACACTACACGAAACTACACTGTAGAGAATATTTTACAATTTTCTCTTCACCCTACCCTGCATACTTTTACATTTTGGGACCCCCCCCCCCCCAAAATGTTACTCCCCAAACCCTAGTTATTGGAAAACGAAAAAATTTAAATATTTTATTCCCGTCACAGCAGGGCATAAATTGAACCTTTACACTTCCCCATAGAATTTACATAATTCAATAAAATGGTGGATTCAAGATTGGACATTTTTAGATTTTACTTCATTTAAAACATAAAGAGTTAAAAACGTATTAATGATTAATTTACAATTTTTTAATACTATGAATATTTTGATGGCATATTTCAAAATAATATTTTCGTACTCAACATTACAAATAAATCTATAACTTTTATTTCTAAAAGTTGTTAGTTCATCGTAGAAAAATACTAACAATCCACCACCAATTTATATTTAATACAATGTAAACAATAACTATGTAACTTTCCTTATCCATTCCTCTCCTTTTCCTTTTATTTATATTTTTATATTTTTTAGAATTGGGGTGAAATATTCCCACCACTTCTACTTTTAGAGGTTTTTAAATACTTTCTCCTGAAACACTTAATTTTGTATGTTTTTCTTTTTACATTACCAACCCATCACCATGACAGCGGGATGTTAAGTTTCTCTTCTGTCCCTTGGTCGAACAATTAAGTGAATTAGCATCCCGCTCTGTGAAATTTTTGTCATAAAGAAATCGTGCTTTTCATTTCAAAACACGATAAAATCGGAGTTTGAGTAGCCAAAATTGGTCTATGGGCCTTGAAGTACAACTTTCCTACATTTCCTGTAAAGTAGTTGTAAACAATTATTATGATTATAAAAAAGAAAATTTTGAAATAACTTACTTTTGATGGTTTGTTGGTTACATGAAGGGCATATGCAACAATAGCTGAAATATTTAGCGATTATTTAATTTTAATAAATATTTTTAAATGTACAAATTTTTATCAAAACATTTTTATGGATAGAAAGTTAGAAAGGAAATTTCCCATTACGAAATATCTAAAAAAATTACTTTTGAAAAAATTGAAATTTGGGAAAAACACATTTTGAATTTGTTGGCCTTCGTGACCTGGGACTATAAATAGATTTCCTAAACAAAATTCAGCCAATTAGGTCTAGAGCGAAGAGCTTATAATAAATATATATTTACCAATATCATGAGGATGCCCATGCCTATCCAACTTGTACAGCTGAGAGGTTAACCATTCTGTACAGTTATGTACACTTTCATGTACCAGCAAATTCAAACTCTGAAATAAATAATAATCCTAAAATGTCAACAACAAAAACACATAAAAAATGGAATCAGGCCAGACTTTAAATTTCAGAGAGACCCGTTTAACATTGGAATAGAAAAGCTGTTATTAAGCTCAAGATTTAAATTTTAGATAGTCAATGTTAGCAATAACATTAAGTCGACATAAAATTGCCTATATATCGTCTTTCTATTCCACAGTTTTATATCTTTGCAATTTTAGCAATATTTACAATATCAGGCTGCAACAATATATTTACACCATCGGGCTGCAACATTATATTTACACCATCAGGCCGCAACAATACAGGGATTAAAAAAATTCAGTTTAAAGGGCCTGTAAGCGTAATTTCAAATGACCCTCAATGCAAAGATGACAAGATGTTCGATTCACAACGGTACTCTTGAAATCTCAATCTAATAAAAAATATGGAAGATTTTCCGATGTGAAAAGTGTTTATATCCGTGAGTTTCTTCGTTGCTTCTAAAAAACAAGAAACGCCGAAAAACCGCAAAGAAAAAAAACAGTTTGAGTTAAAAAAAAAACATGATAATCATATACTTGATTCGACAATGGTTTCAAGGGTACACCGTTGCAAATCAGGCATTGCCATATTTGTATGAAGTGGTAAAATTACGATTACAGTCCCTTCAAGAAAGGTGTTTCTTCCTTTAAAATACAGATTGTAAAATTCAGTGAAGAGAGAAACTAAATTTGACACACACTCAAATTTTCTAGTCCCTATATCTGTTCAACCTGATGGTGTGAACTATTATATTTCAAACTATTTCATCCAACAAAAATCATAGTTTGAAAAAAGAGGTCTACGTCATCAGGTTCGAAAGATAATAACATTAATAAATCAGAGTTTTTGGCAAAAGCTAAGTTTCTTTGCACAAAACATGAATAGTTAGAATCCCTGGGCTCTGACAACCTGATGGTGTAAACATTGCTATTTGAAACGTGGAATCTCTGCTCAGAATGAAAATATCACAGACCTACATAGCAAATATTTCAAAGATACTCATAAAACTGTGCAGCTAGAACTCATAAAACTGAGGAGCTGGAACTCATAAAACTATGCAGCTAGAACTCATAAAACTGAGGAGCTGGAACTAATAAAACTGTGCAGCTAGAACTCATAAAACTGAGGAGCTGGAACTCATAAAACTGTGCAGCTAGAACTCATAAAACTGTGCAGCTAGAACTCATAAAACTGTGCAGCTAGAACTCATAAAACTGTGCAGCTAGAACTCATAAAACTGTGCAGCTAGATCTCATAAAACTGTGCAGCTAGAACTCATAAAACTGAGGAGCTGGAACTCATCTGTGCAGCTAGAACTCATAAAACTGTGCAGCTAGATCTCATAAAACTGTGGAGCTAGAACTCATAAAACTGTGCAGCTAGAACTCATAAAACTGAGCAGCTAGAACTCATAAAACTGTGCAGCTAGAACTCATAAACTGTGCAGCTTGAACTCATAAAACTGTGGAAAAGTAAGACGATATTTAAGCAATCTTTTATCTTATACCATTGAATTTTACCTGTGACGCTACTGAAGCTTTTTGTAAACTGATAACAACATGAGCAGTTAGAGATACACTCTGAAATTAGAATCATTACAAAATAGTGATGTCGTCAGCACTTTTGATTTGTGAATCTCAGGTTAAATAATTTATCTCCATCTCATATTTAAATCCTAGGTTTAATTTAGTTAATTAATAACTAATCAATAAATCAATCAATCAATAAATAACTCGATGAAATTATCAAAATGATAAAAAAAATCAGAGTCAAAGCAACATTCTCCTAAAATCAATCTATGAATCAAGCAATCAATTAATCAAAATGAAAAAAATGATGAAACCAAGTCCTTGACTCCTTTAATCAAACAGTCAATAAATGACTCAATTAATGAATGAATGAATGAATGAATGAATTAATCATTTAATTAATCATCATATCGATCATCTAATTAATAAATGACTCAATCAATCTTTTATTAAAATGAAATTAATCACTCAAGCACTAATTAATTTTAAAAATAATTGACTTCATAAATTTAAAATATTTTAAAAAATAAAAACTTTATTTTGTTTTCTGTTTACCTGGAATTCTACTGGAGCCTGAGTTTCCTGGGGAAACATGAATGGTTCTCTAAATCTTCCTGAATTATATCAATATAAAATTATAAAAATATAAAAATATAAAAATATAAAAATATAAAAATATAAAAATATAAAAATATAAAAATATAAAAATATAAAAATACAAAAGTATAAAAATATAAAAATATAAAAATATGAAAATATAATACAGTGTGAAGTGTGGTAAATATACTCAAAATAAACATATATATAGATATATTTTTCTTTAGACAAATATTTTTAAAAAGTTAAAAATACCAAAAAAGAAACCAACCTATTGATATTTGTGTTGAAATTAACCAAGATATTGCTGATTCAACTACACCCATATCAAGAGACAATCCAGATCCTAAAAAATAAAAAAAATGAAAATAAAAAAAATTGTTTAATATTTGTTTAGAAAACTAACTATCTACAGAAATATGTCTTAAGAATTTTGACCTAGTCATATTTTTTGGAGGATTTACAGTGTATGCCTCCGACAAAACAGCTCTACATAGTCTATTGTTTATATACCTGGAGGGAGTACAGTGCATGCCTCCGACAAAACAGCTCTACATAGTCTATTGCTGATATACCTGGAGGGAGTACAGTGTATGCCTCCGACAAAACAGATCTATTTATTCTATAGCTGATATACCTGGAGGGATTACAGTGTATGCCTCCGACAAAGCAGATCTATTTATTCTATAATTGATATACCTGGAGGGATTATAGTGTATGCCTCCGACAAAGCAGATCTATTTTTCTATGGTTAATATACCTGGAGTGAGTACAGTGTATATCTCCGACAAAACATATCTATTTATTCTATAGTTGATATACCTGGAGGGATTACAGAGTATGCCTCCGACAAAACATATCTATTTATTCTTTAGTTGATATACCTGGAGGGAGTACAGTGTATGCCTCCGACAAAACATATCTATTTATTCTATAGTTGATATACCTGGAGGGATTACAGTGTATGCCTCTGACAAAACAGCAACAACATTAGCGGTCAACCAGACACTTCCACCCTCTATGTTCTCAGCCCTTAAAATATTAAAGATATTAAAATATTGCAACTAACTGCCCCCCCCCCTTTTTTTTGAATTAAATACCATTTCTTGTTCTCGAAAAGAAAAATTAAATAGAAATAAAAGATGATTTAATATTTTCCATATTTATTATTTTATATTTTATATTTGTATACTTCAAATATTTTCTCCGATGTCAGTGAATGATTTTGTGTTTAAATATACATAGTAAAAAAACTAAGTGAAGCTTTGATTGAAAATTTCAATTTTAATTCAAAAACATAAAGTTTAATTAAATTACAATGGACAATAAATATTTTATTGATGGAAATTACAATATTAAGTAGTCATTATTTTTTTTTCTAAATTAAAAAAATAATTAAAAACTTTAAAAAAAGAGAATAATAATTGGGCCTCAAATGCCTAAAACAAAACTCCGGTTTATTAGAAGGATCGAGCCAACCTTTGGGCACCTTTTATTCCCTTTTTTAGTGTGTTATATTGCCATATTTACCTGTTTTTATTTTTGAAGAAAGAAAATCCACCATCTTGGTTTTGACAATTAAGAATCTCCTGGTAGGCCAGGTTTGCCTCTCTGTAAAGATTCTCAACTCTAAAATATTCAAAAGTTATTTTTTTTTTTACTTTTTGGATAAATTTTTTAAGTTTAAAATAAAAAATATTTGTTTGAACACCAAGTTGTAGATATGTCTAAGAGTTGCTTCCAAAATATATATGAATCTTAATTTGTAATAAGATTTTCAATTCTAGAAAATTTGGAAATAAATTTAGAAATAAATCAAGCTAAGTGCATAAAATTTTTCTTTTAAAAAAATGAGTAGAATTATTTATTCATATATATGATTGATTTTATATTAAGAAAATCAACTTTAGAATAGTTCTTTAAAATTTAAGTTACGAAACAGAGGAAGTTTGATTACGAGCTGCAATAAGTTAAACTACAGTCGTCGTCGTAAATAACAACACAATGAAGACGACTTTTGGTTTGAATTTTTTATTTTTTACAAAGCTTTAAACATGTAAAGGCTGGGGGGGTCTGAATTTATGTATAGCCTGGGGTGGAGGCATCCCACGCCCCTTCCCCCCTTGGAAAATGCCAAATTTTTCAAAGCTAGCTCATTGAAAAAAATAGACCATAATAACATTATTAATAGTTTGGGTGCTAAGGAGGGTTAAAAAATGCCAAAAAAACGTGTTTTTAATTTCAACAAATATCAAAGTGTGACGCAGGTTTCTGCATTCATAATTTAAGGGCTTTTCAAAATATTATTTTTAGATCTGTAGCTTTAGTCACAAAAAAAGTTATGGGCTATTTTAAATTTTTTTACACAGACCGGACTTTTTTCTGGCCTCAACCCTACCCTATAAATTAAAAAAATATATATTTACAAAAAAAATTCTATTTATCTACTGGAGCCTGA